TTTTCTTTCTTTTTAGATCCAACAAAGACTAGAAAGTGAAAATAGTTTCTGTAATTTGGTGGGGGATACAAACTATTGTTGCAGCCTTTATTGAATTCCTTCAATTGGAAACAAAGAGTATTGCTGATAATCAGCTCTCTGTAAAACTGGCACAAAGTAAAATTGCAGATGAACAAGAATCTGAGTATTGAAATAGAAATCGTAATTCGATTTCCGCCTTTGTGTTTTTGATTCCATAATGGAAAACAGAGGAACAAGCACATGTAGCAACTGCAACGCTTTTCGCAGTTTATATTGATAGTAATTGACAGGGAAAGAATTTATAACATTTGCATCACGACATTGAGGACAACAGGCATCCGCAGAGCCTACCATCTGGTTTGATTCATTAACTGATGCATAAAATACACTCACCAGCACATCGATTCTTCCGGCGGCTCCCATTACACTGAGCTTAACACCTATCTCCGACATCTCTTCGAAACCGACATTCCCTCCACTTCCATATATCTTCAGCATTGGTGTGTAGCTCCAAGTATCCGGCCTACAATGCTGCAATTGCTTCATATCCGTGAAAAGCTGCTCCGCTTCCTCAACTTAACCAGTGTCTGCACATGAAAAGCCTTTTTTTCTTTTACCCAAATATCACCAAAACAAAAATTAATATATGAAAAAAATACGAATTTTGTATTAGATGTATATTCAATCAACATTTGCGTATTAATTGATGTGAGCACAGCTACGAACCTTATTAAGTTTAAAGGTTATATTTAAACACTCGAAAACCCTCTAAATAATGTACTATTCAAAACCCTTCCATGAGCTTCTCAAACGGACTCACGTGGAAAACAAACAATGAGATAGAACATGCATATTTTTAGAACTTTTGTGCGTAATAATTAAAAATAAAACTTTTTTTACCCATTCAGAAGCTTTTATAGATTCGTTTTTTTTAAATATTAATAAATATCGTTTGTATTGTAAGTGATATTGTCGTTCATAAGAGCACCACTAAGCATTGATGTATCGACGAAATTCTTGATGCGTGAGCTCCATGACATAATCAAACCAATTTATTATTGCAGCAGAAAACACGGGGTAAAAGCATTCTTAAACCTCTTGGTACACGATGATTATATTTTATTAGCAATAATAGTAAAAATTGGGGAAACAAATGGGAAAAAACAAATGATTTTTCAACTTAAAATCTTCCACAAATATAAAATATATAATCTTGTCTGCTTAAACCCATTCATATTCTCTCCATGTATATGACTATGAACAAACCTTGCCTTCCATGTAGCATTTGTTGACCAAGAACACAAGCACTAAATGGTAAACCAAAACTTCTTGCATTCAAACTTGTTTATTTAATGTTTAAGACTTGAAGTGGGTGATTTAGTCCAACCTCAACCGATTTGCCTGTTAGTTTTTGTTTTTTGCAGCTTTCATGCTGAAACATGTCTGGTACAAGAATCCTTTGTGTCTTTTTGTTTATTTTCCCTTTTTTAAGTGCATACAGATATATCTAACATAAACAACGATGATTAAAGAAGAATTTTTTATAATTGTGAGAGATTATGTTTTAATGTGGAAAAGTTGTCTCGTTTGTCTTATTTGGCAAATGGGAAATAGTATTTGGAGGCTGCCTTTTCTGTTTATTGTCCAAAAGATCAAATCATCAATGGCAATCCTTTTTACGCATTAATTCCAATTTCAAATTTCTTACAAAATGCCACGTGTCCCATTCCCATTGGTTCACTCATACTCCATAGTAGGGGTTGGTGTAGTGTTGAGATTGAAGCTTATGCATGACTGGGATTTCCCACAATCCCACCCCATTTATGTGGGAAAGAAACCTGTCATCTCCATTGAAGGGGCTGACGTAGTGTAGATCGGACAGTTTGTCTACTTGATTAAAGCTATTAGGGTGGTAAATGAGTCATTTCAGATCGATTCGGTTAAGGTTTGATAAATATTTGGATCGAATAGATTTGATTCAAGTTCGAGCTCGACTTAAGATCTTAACGAGTCAAAACGAGCTACTTGATACTCGACTTGAAAAGCTCGTGAGCAACTCGAAAATATGATATATTAAATTTTTTTTAAAAAAAATATAAATTATTAATAATATTAGCATTTATGTGTTGATTTTTTTTAAATACGGTATAGTTTTCATGTATTTAAAGTTCAGGTTCAAGTTTAAGGCTTCAATCAAGTTAAGTTTAAGTTTTTTTTTTCATATCGAGCCTTTTCGATCTACTCACGAGCTTCAGTTAAGGTTTTCGAGTATAGGTTGAACTTGAAAATTTTAAGCTTGTGATTTGAGTTAAGTCGAGCTTTATTTCAAAGTTTTCGAGTCGAATTCAGTAATACTCGAGCTTGACTAAGCTCGTTTACACCCCTAAAAACTATAATACATAAATTTCTCTCAATAACAAAAATATATTATTCTCATTCTCCTTACATGCTAAACTTTCAAAGAAAAAAATGTGTATTAAAGTTTTTGAAATTTTATGTTTTTTCGAATAACTATAACTTATTAACTGATCACTGATAAAATCTGCTATATAATAATTAGGTTTATTCATTTTTTTATCTACAAATAGTAATCATAATTTTATGTTTGATACTAATAGACTTGTATATAAATCAACATGGAAGATTTAAGACCTCTCTATCCTTTGATTTCTTTTGACAAACTTTTCATCGTTAGTCATCTTTTTCAGATTATCACTCTTTTAAACTTTTTGTGAACTTCTTATTACGACTCCAAACCAAAATAAAAAAATGAATTATCTATAATTTTCACAACATCATTTTTAATGAGATTTATAATTCTTTTAATTTGTAAAAGAATAAATTTAAAGACAAACACTTTATTATTGTAGAAGATAAACCATAAAATTACTTATAAGCCTTAAAGCAAGGCTTTTAATACATCTTTTTTTGCCCTTTTATGAATTTAGAATGAAGTAGTAGTTCCCATCGACACCCACTTTTTTGCTAAACATTTTAATTAGTTGGCTCCCACTCATATGGAAATTATAAGTTTGTTCTTTTACAAATTTAACATTCAATGTTCTTGTCATCTAGTAGTAGGTCTAGAAATATTTTTCAGGATAAATAAATATATGTTAACAATATAATTTTTTTAAGAGAATGAATACAAATAAAATTTTATGATTACATATGAACATTTTTAGAATAGACACTATCAATAAAAATAATTAATTAATAAAAAAAATCGAATTTTAATATCTACCCTCACTAAACTGTGAGTCCACCACTATTGTCATCACAAAAAGGACTTTGATTCCAGTCGTACAAATAATTTTTGTGTGTGTAAGTTGTAGTGATATACTCATGTTAAAGATGAATGAGTTGCAAAAAAAAAAAATAATGATGATGTATTTTTAGGATAATAAGTAATAATCTTTCGATAGGTATTGAAGGGAAAAAAAGGTTTTAATAATGAGTATTATTTTAATTATTTGTTTGATAATAAATGGGTATTTTTAAGAACTTAATTTTTTTTAATTTAATTTTTCCTTAATATTTTTATACCGTTTTTCTCTTTGATTTTTATTTAACCATCAATAGAATTAATTTTAGTATTGATTATCGATCGCCGATAATTATTAGTTCTCTTATTTTTTTTATACTATGTCTTTTGTTTATTTTAATCTTTTTTAATTTTTGAATAAGAATTTCTGTTCTTGTGACATATTTTTTCTCCACTCTTGTGGTACATATTTTCTCTGCTCTCGTAGCACGATCCTTATAATTTTTGGTACTTTTTTTTTTGCATACATTTGTAGTTGTTTTGGTGTTCGCACAAAAATCATCATGACATTCATTTTATGATTAGTTTGTCGGTGATCACGTATAATTATATCTCCTCTTTGGTAAAAGATTATTTACCGATATAATTAGAATTGTGTAACGGAACTATCTGTCAGATTGCTTATTTCGTTCACCTCTTCTTTATTACTTTGTAAAACATCACATTTAACAAAGATGAAATTTTTTTATGAATGTTACTAGATTCTTTTTTATGTTGATCGTTATTTTTAATAGAATGATTTTTTTTTCACAACTTTAAGTTTAATATTTTATTTTTATATGAATATTTTCTTTTTATATTTTGATGTGCCGTAATTAACTCCTTCCATTATTAATGAAATTTGGTTAAAAATGATAAAGAAAAAAAAAGGAATTCATATTAACTTTATGTAATATGGGGGCATATTTACAGTAAAAAGGGAAGGAAAAGGTGTTTTGTCCGACTCAAGATGACATGGGAGTAGCTTTAGACCAATAGGTCAAGACATGACCAAATACCACTTTGCCATCATAATCTCTCCTTTCCTTCGCTTCACTACGCACAACCATTGAACACCAAATCAAAACTTCACCTTTAAATCTTCACATATTTTTATGAAATTTACAACGAAAAATAAATTTAGATCATCAGGTTGATGACCAATCGATATAATTAAAGTTAAATTAATTTCTGAGTAAAAAAATTAAGAGAAGAAAAATAAAAAAATGAGAGAAAAAAATGAGAGGAAAAAAATTTAACCAACTAAAATTTTATTATTATAAACATTAGTATAATCACATCAAATGAATGTTGTTTTAATTACATCATTATATTAATAAAAAATAATTTATAGCATCACCATCATTTAAATTTTTAACTATCTAATGATTATATTGAATTAAAATAAAAATTCAACACTAAAATTGAATATTTTTTTTTGTAAAATTAAGTGATATTTGATGTGATTCAACCCTGAATTAATTGGCGGGAAGTAACTAGCTAAGTGTGAACGAGTTGGAGGTGGGATCGAGCTTTATGGAATTTTGTGGGAAGCTTCGGACAAGCAATCTCAGCACTTTCGGTGTTTTTTTTTGTGAACTCGTGCCTTGTCCAACCACTATATATCACACACCCACAACCCTCTATTTTTACTCCTACCTGAAACCTCCGCTCTCTTAATTCATACTAAAACATTAAATTCTGCATTCAAGGCTACAGTCCATCCTCTTTTCACTACCAAATTCCCCAAAAATTTTTATATATTTTTTCTTGGTTTTGATTGAATTGTTAAATAGCTGATTGCAGAGTTGAATATGTTTTAGTTTCTGGGTACAGTTCATAATCAAAGTTCTTTTCTTTTCAATCCAACATTATTTTGGGACAAAAACTTTGAGGGGGTGGGTACTTTCACTGGCGAAAAAACAAATTTATATTCCGAAGACAATGATTCTGCCGTTCACCGGGTGCATTCTGTGGAAATTGTACTCGGTTCTCGACAAAAAATACTGTGTTGATAAAAGCTTCTATTTTTGGATTTTCCAGATTTTTAATACATACAGTTTCGGCACTTAGCGGCACAATTCTCATAACTTTTGCCTCTGTTTTTTCTGTTCTGTTTCATCATCTTCTTTTTCTTCGCCGATTTATTCTTTCAATTCCTTGAGCTTCTAAAATGGGAGGAGCTTCACTGCCACCAGGTTTTCGGTTCCATCCCACTGACCAGGAACTGATAGGTTATTACTTGAAAAGAAAAATCGATGGACTTGAAATTGAGCTTGAAGTGATTCCTGTGGTTGATTTGTACAAGTTCGATCCTTGGGATTTGCCAGGTACTGTTACTAATGTTTCGTATTCATTGATTTGTTATTTTATCGAGAACTTAATAATGAATCCGGATCGCGTGTTGCAGAGAAGTCGTTCCTTCCGAAACGGGATTTGGAGTGGTTTTTCTTCTGTCCGAGGGATCGGAAGTACCCGAATGGCTCGAGAGCGAATCGAGCCACCAAAGCTGGCTACTGGAAGGCTACGGGGAAAGACAGGAAAGTGGTGTGTCAATCTTCTGTTAGTGGCTACCGGAAGACCCTGGTTTTCTACCGTGGCCGTGCCCCTTTGGGCAATCGAACGGATTGGATTATGCATGAGTATCGTCTCTCCGATGAGCCTTCTCAAGGATCAACTAATCAGGTGAAAACATAGACATATATGGTCAGGCATTTTCATTCATGAAAAACAATGTATGACCAGTTTAGTTTTATACTCTTCAGGGAGCTTTTGCCTTGTGCCGTGTTGTGAAAAGGAACGAGCCGAAGGTGAGTGATGCTCGTGGAGAACCGAAAGCCACAAGGGTCGGAAGCAGTTCGACCGATGTGGAACTTACCGTGACGAGGTTGACCTGCAAGCAGCCATTGAGTAATTCTGGTGACATTTCGTGTCCAAAAAGTTACCCTAATCAAGGGAGCAATTATTCAAGCCGTGTCACTTCTCCTTGTGAAGTCACGCAAGTGCCACCATTTGAGCCTGTTTCTGTTAATACCGATCGCGGTGATGTTTGGGTCTCACCTGATCTAATTCTTGATTCTTCAAAGGTATATATGACTTGTTCTGAAAGAAGAAAAATAAAACTTGAAGATTCAGCATTTGTTAGATGTTTCTTTAGGTTTCTTCTCTTAACGATTTCTCCATCGGCTGATGGCAGGATTACGCACAAATATGTGAAACAACAGTCCAGTGCTCTTCTCAGAATGAGTTTCCGAGCTCAATGACTCCGTGGCAGCAATACGAACAGACCGAATTCTCCCCAAGTTCATCGTACTTGAATTTCGGGGAAATCGAACATGATGATCTCAGTCGCATTGGCTGCATGTCGCCTTACTCGCTCCATGTAAATTACATGGACTTCTATGGCAATGAAGGCAATGACCAGACTGTTGTTTTATACAACTACATGAACCCTTTCTGAGAACAGGAAGGGATCATGCTAGCTCTTCTTTCCTCAATGTAGGGTGGCCCTTACTGGTACGAGCAATGAATGAAAATGGCGAGTTCGTCTTAATCTTAAAGGGAACGATCTCTAAGATGACGCTTTTTAATGTTGGTTCTTGGAGTAAGAAATAATAAGCACAACCCCTCCACTGCTACCAGATTGTATTAACATTGCTGTGCCTTTGTTGTATTATGTATTGCTGCAATGCCAGCAGCTAAATGTTTGTTTTATTTAGTTTCTGGTGGTAATCACTTCTACCAATTGCACCTGGAGTTGGTTTATTAAACAAATGAACTATGTTACCTTCCATAAAAGTGCTTAAATTCCATACTTTCTGTCAACATTTATGGGAATATCTGCACTTTTGAATCATCGCCAAATGCTAAATGAACATCTTAATGTTTGAACTGATGAGGGTTTATTTTAATTTTTTTTCAACATTAATAATTAACTAGAGTTGTCAACTTCAACCTGTAGTTGTCTAATTTGCTTGAAGCTTTTGACAAAATGCAATATTCGCTAGAGATTTAAAGTTGATAATGAACTTCAGTCATATATCATACGCACATTTCTATCAAGTGTTTAGCTTTAGACAGAACACTTTCAACTTTTGGTCGGCATTCTATCAACTCAGTGGGGTGTGTACATCTAGACGGAGTTGTTCATTGTATTATTCACATTTTGGAAGCTTTTTAGTGAGTTGATAACGGAGTATCCTTGGAACTTTTCCAAAACATCACCACCTCAATAAGAATGAGACTTGCACCTATGCATTGCTTATTGATGGATTATCTTCCAGTTACCTATTTCAAGCAAGATATCTGTACCGATTGCAAAGGGTCATTGTTGCTCAACTTAAACCCTAAATACTAAACTCTAATTCATATAGAACCTATTGATGATTAGGAAAGTACCTTCTGAACCTCAAAGTAAGACAACAAAAGTGTTAGATATTAAATCAAACTTTAATTAAAACTTAAGTTGAATTTTGTTATAAGTTTTTGTTAGAGTTTGACCCAAATTTAAAGTGATACAAATTGATTAAATTAATTGAGAAACGTAAGAAACCTAGTTTGATTAGAAGTAGAAACTTTATTTTTCATTTTATGTAGAAAATCTACTTTAAATAGATTTCTACTTTATAAGTTTCTTTTGTAATCGATTATTTATCCATATAAATAGATACTAAGGCTAAAGGTTACATATTAAGTTTTTCGTTCTCCAAAATCCTCTTGTATTTTATTCTTTTATATTAGTGAAATTCTTCTATTCTACTCGTGATTTTTTTATTTTGGATTTTCCAAGTAAATCTTAGTGTTATTTGCTTTTATTTTTCGATCTTGTTTATTTGTTTATGTTCCGATATTATAACAATTTTGTTGGTCAAAGATCACTTTGTGATCTCTGCATTTATAGATGAGTTTTGTAGGGATACTGAGAGAGTGATTTGGGATATTTCAGGTTTTGATATTATTCGATTGTAAGATATATGAGATATCATATATTTGTGTCCTTCGTGATCTTAACGTTTGTAGTGGATTATTATTCTTCTTATCCGTGGAGATAGACAAAATTAAATAACGTTAAATCTCATCTTTGTGTGCGTCTTATTATATATTGATCATGATTCAATTATTTTTTCGTTTACGAGTTCCTAAAAGGAAGTTTAACTCAATAAGAACTCCAAAAGAAAAAGGTTGTCATCCATCAAGTTTTAAACAATGAGTTAGTCCCCCCCAAATCCCTTTACTTTGCTAAAAACGTTGTTAAAAGAAACAACAACAATAATATAATTTACTTTAGGAATGCTTTTCTTAAAAGGCCTTAAATGATTATATCCCTAAACTATTTTCATGAACCAGAAAGTATATATTCTTCTAAGGAAATTAGATTCTTCAACCTTCCCCTATATTGTTTATGTTGTCCCTTGGCCCTTAGGTAAGCATGGGGGGCTATTTCCAAGTTTCATCACCAAATAAACACTTGATTTCGTGGTTCATGGAAATTCACATTTATTTTGTTTACAATGTGTGAGATATTCTCCCACTACTAAGAACCGAAAACGAAGTCCCTCCACCACTGAGTTAAGTGGTGATGAACTTTTGACAAAGTATACATTAAGATATCCTTTCCCTCTATGGAAAGTTTCCCACAATCTGAGATAGTTGTATGGTGATGTGGGTTCCTTAGCATATACAATCAAAAAGTTGTTCACCATTGTCCCAGTTTGTGAAGTATAATAAGACCATTTTCTTTATTGTTAATCTAGGAGGCAAGCACGACTAAGCGATCTCGGTGGTAAATGAGTTGTTATTCTTTGAAGTATCCAGTCTGAACACCAAGAATGTTAGGAGTGTGAACGTTCAATCTCAAATGGTAGAAAATTATATATGAACAAAAAAAATCTAAGAGGCAAATGCTCAAATGTATTAAAAATTTGATAAAGTTATGATCTCCTTTAAATTTAAGGAAAATATAGTGGATAAGTGCATACATATAAAATTCAGTGTAGGCAAATTTTTATCTAGCATTATTTGTAAATGATATTCTAGACAAAAAGGTGATATAGCTTATGTCATAACCGTTTTTAGGTGGAACAATAGTTCATTGTTTTTTTTTTTTTAAAAACAGTTACGACTTTAATTTTGAGAAATTGGTGATTTTGAATTAATTTGAATTAAATTGAAAAGGAGTCGCCATCGACCTTTGGGTTAGGCAGGTCAGATACCTAAAAACGTCTTTTAAATTTTTTTTAAGAAAAATCGTCTTTTAAGATAAAAGTTGGTCTGCATTTACCAAAGATTCGATTAAAATGGGTTCGGGAGTCGATTATGAGTGGAGAAGGATTAGCACCCCACAACGCCCAAAAGCTGGTACTGAATCGCCTATACATTGTCATAATGGTGGAAATTGTAAATCAAATATAAAATTAAATTGTGATCTATTTATTAAAATTTAATTAATTTGCTTCAAATTAATTAATTATAGAAAATCCTTTAACTTGATAAAAAAAACTTGAAATTTGCAATCCTCCGTCGGGAAAGCTATTTCAACAATTTTCTATTGTTAAAAAATATTCCCTCTTCGATAAAATACAAATTGAATATTAACATATTTTGAAAAATAAAATAAATTATTATTTAGAAAAACATGTATGACATTATTCAACATGAAATAAAATGAATTAATTAACAGAATAGAATCATTTTTATATTTCAAATTCACATTTGTTTGAACGACATATTGAATTACACCACATCGATCAAGTGATATTTTTCACGCCCGTTCTACATGTTCTTGAAGATTTTCAAATATGAATAAAACTATCTTCATAAAGAATGCAATTAATATTTAAGAATATTTTAGAACTTTATAAAATACTAAACTTCCAAAATAAATAATATATATACTTAATAAATTTAATATATATACTATCCTAAATAATATATATACATATATAGTTATAACATACACTTTATTATAATATAAGCTTTAAAATAACACGTACAAAAATGTGAAAATATAAAAAATAAATAACCAAAATTATGTAAACCATAAACACGTGACTAAATTAAATAATATTAATCTTAAGGTCACTAATCAAAAACAAAGCAATAATTATGAAAGACATATAAATATTATCAACCCCATGCACGCAATAAGACCAATATATCATACTTGGGGACTGAAACATGAAACATTAAAATCATGATACAAAATGTATAAATAACATAAAGACAAAATAATAAAACTAACGGGACTTAAAATGAACTAATATAAACCTTCAATCCTAAAGTATAAATAAACTTAAATACAGTGGTTAAATTGCAAACAAAACAAACTTTAAAATACGAAATAAAATAAAATTAAGTGACTGAAAAAATAATGTTACAAATACAAAGAACTGAAAAATGTGATTTTACCTTAAAGAAATAAAGGCATACATGTGAGATCATCAAAATAACAAGGACCATTCCATAAGTTAACCCTAAACCTAAACATGCAGGATCCTGGCACACTTGAAAACTATGTCGTTTAGCATATGAAATATAGATTCATTCTAAGGGTTTCTTGAAACCTTAATCCCATTTCAACACCTCCAGCCGTTTATTCATTTTCTCTCCAACCTTCCCTTTCTCCTCATTTGCCAAGCCAAGCCTCCTTTCTTCCTAGTTCTTAAATTGATAGTTAGCATAATATATATATATTCGAAAACCTACTGAAAACGCTCAACCGACAGCCCCAACCCTCCAAGTGATACTACAAACCGGCGATCCTTTACCGAAGGAAAACCGATATTCCAAAGGTAAAAATAAATCTTCTACTAGTTTACATCTTCTATTTCGGAAAAAAAAAATCAAATGCATGCACACGGAAAATATACCTTAAAAGAAATAGTGGATTGTGTTTTGTATTGCTTTCTTCTTTTTTTCTTCTGAAATTCTGGATTTTTATTGATATATTTCAAATGATTTACAAGATACCCTTGCTTTCTCACTCAAATATTTTCTCTGATTTTTCTTTCGTTTGAACAGATTTTTTTCTTTTTTTTTGTTCCCCCTCCCTTCCTTTGCTCGATTCCCCTCTGATTTTATTGTTGAAATCGTCATCTAATCTCCTTGGATGCATCTGAAATTTCTTTGCGTTTGGTAGGATAGTTACGGGTTTAGGTATGATTTATGACATTTATCTTTGACTTTGGAGATGCTTTTATTTGTTTTGTTATTTGGTTGGCCGACATGAGTGATGATGATATTTCAACTTGCTCGGAGGTGACTCGCCTTGGTGACTCATCGGTGGAGAGGCTTCCAAGTTGAAGGTGAGACCCAGGCAAAAAATGGGTGTTTACAGCTTATTGTATGAAATCAGGACATTTCTATCCTGTAAATTTCTAATAAAAATATTGGTTAGATGTCGTTTTATACTATATAAAAGGTAATGACAATAGAAACGATCGTATAATAAAAGAAGGTATATCAAGATTTTACGTAAAAAAATTAATAAAAAATTAAAAGTAGAGGAAGAGAAATTTTACTAATATTAAAAATAAGAAAAAAAGAAGATTGATGCTATTGTCAAGGACCGCCAGTCCGTGACAAGTGCGAGCTGAACCAGTTAGGACACGACCAAGGCCATCCTGGGCCACCAAAGGAGTCTGAAGAACATCATGGGCCACTTTAGCTGAAGCTAGCCCGATTTGAATAAGTTTTTTCTTATTTATTTATTATTATTTATTTGAATTTAAAATAGAG